ACCTACACAACAGAAACTCCCCATTGCTTTAGCGGTACCAACTAAGAGCCCCACTTACTATCTGCTCGACAGTACTGGAACACAGTACCATCGTGTTCTAACACGGCTCTCTAGAACTCAGTCAGTCGAGAGGGTAATAGAAATGCCTAATCAAACGGAAATGACATAACGCTATAAATAGCAAGACGGAAAAGTTTTGAACCAAATATATTTTTTACTAGTGAAACAATTTAAAATCAAATAATTTGAACACAAATTTCAGTTCATCGTCTGAATGAAATAAGTGTTTTATCTTAGATAAGAGTTTTATCTCTCTCTCTCTCTCTCTCTGTCTCCTTCATGCTCTCTCTCTCTCTCTCTTTCTCTTTCTCTCTCTCTCTCTCTCTACACACACACACACACACACACACACACACACATATATATATATATATATATATATATATATATATATATATATATATATATATATATATATATATATATATATATACTTAAATTGTTCGATGATGGTAGTCGGCGTGGTCGGGTCGGTTGCTGAACCAAAACTCCAGAGTTCGAATCCCCGGGAAGTTGAGGCTCGCTAGCTGGGAACAGTAACCTTGCTAGGAGAGACAACTCCAAACTCAAACAGCTTGTAATTTCTTCTTCGGTTGGACAAAGGCTGTTGAAGTAATCCCAAAAAGAAAAGTAAGCTTTTTATGACGCATACTGGGTTGAAACGTACTATTCTGCCCAGCATTACACTTAAGAACAAAGAAAAGAATTTCATATAATGTTTTTGATTCCGATGCTATACGTAGTTAATAGTATACATAGACAACTAACCAAATATGTATCTATGATAGTCAGTAATAAGCATCACATATAGACTTTGATGACATTGTGATACTCATGTGTGTGTAAGGGAGGGGGTGGGAGGGGTGGAGGGGGTGATTCGAAATGTGTTTTATTTATTGATTTAATTTTGAAATTATATTTATTATACCAGCCACACTGATTCATTGTCCGTCAAGATATCAGAAAATTCACTATGATTTAACTAGAGCTAATATGTCCAACTCTTGTTCCCAAATGAACGGACACATTGTATATTCAGATACGACGCCCCATTAATTATCACCAAGCTATTTTCGTCCCAGGGTTGTCAGTTTTCAAAAACCCGGATGTGGCGTAGACCCTACAACCCTTTATGTGCTGTCAACAGCGCTTTTCATTGGGGAACGAAATAATTCCACTTCTGCAAACAGGCAGCATTGTTTCGTTTAAAAATTCGCCAATATATATATATATATATATATATATATATATATATATATATATATATATATATATATATATATATATATATATATGCGATGGTGCAGTCCCAGCATCATCCGGCGACAGTCACGTGACCCATGACCCCCATATATAAACACCAAGGCCGTGGTCTCAATGCAGCTATTGTTAAAACGTCAATAGGAGCCCCTTGTGAAAAGTTGTTGTCGTTTCTCTGTTATGAAACATCCCTGGTTCCAGCCCTTATTACTCAGCTTCCAGGGTCACTTTGAATTGGGGAGAAAAATGGCAACTCATTATTTCGTTATTAGGGAGAAAATTGGGGACGGAGTGGTCTAGCGGTAGAGAGCTGGACTGCTAACCCGTCAGTCTCGAGTTAGAATCTGGGTTCAAGTCAGTATACCGTCCCTGAGTCCACCCAACCTTGATGGGTACCTAACTCATGTTAGAGTGCTAACCACACTATCTCTTCATATGCCGATTTCACATAAATAAGTAAACTCTACTTCACTTGCCCTATAGACCGTCAGGTTTGAAAAGGGAATTTTACTTTAGTTTATGTAGGAAATTTGCTGTCACAAAATGATTAGCTGAATCCTCTTCGACAACTTCATTTAAAAAAATAAACCTCCACTTGTGATACAATCATGAGACTAACGTTAACTTTGTCCTGAATTTAATGTTACACGAGTTAATGAATGAATCATCAACACATTCTTCTTTCTTGTAGATTTACTTCCTTTATGAAAAAACACGATTAAAAAAAACTTAGTCATCAAAGCCGCTTAATTCTTCTTTGATTTCTATATTTAGAGACTAAGGTTAACAAGTATAAAGTGATGACGTAGAACACAAAGCATCGGCAGATGAAACAGAGTTCATCTGTTTTTATATTACAGGTTTATTTTCTGGTCTTGGTTTCTGATTACCAAATAGTGATGGGTACACATTTAAGCTGAGTGAACACTAGGACGTACGAAAGTAAGTCATTGAATGATTTAGACTTAACAACATGTTTATGGATCTTAAAATTGATTATTTAACCTTAAAGGCTTGGCGTTCAACCTAGTGAATTGTACGACTATGAGGGTATTACTAACGCAAAAGTATCGTGACTGTTATCGTATTCTTGGCATATTCGTTACACGAATATAGAACGGAGGGTTTAATGCATAGTCTTGGATTAGTGTGGGGTCTCGCAATTGTTAACATTAATCTACGTGTGATGACGCTAGTTATAAATAGGTCGGAGGTCAAGCAGGCGAAAGGTTGAATAGCGTCGGTCAGGTAGATGTTGGTCAGTCAAGGAGAACCAATAAAATTGTAGGAGATGACTACTTTCCTTTCTATAGAAGTACCTGAGGCTCAGTTATCAGAGTTCAGCAATAAAAAAAAAGTTAACTTTCAGACCTGAAGGTCCGTTTGGCAGATAAAGTAGAGTTCACCTGTTTCTAGATCTATGTCTATGAATAGATTGTTCTACGTCCAGTCTTGCTTACGTATTTCTGTATAGAATACAAACATGTTTGATATGAAGCTATGAAATCTTATTCATCTACTTCCTGCTGTGGTGTTTACCTTTTTGTTCAAAGTCTAATAACAAGCTAAAAAAATTTTTTAAATTCTTAGTTTACGATAAAAGCAACAAATGCATGTATCAATTCATAGATTCATTTAATTCAACAAGAAAAACGTCATGACATGAAAATTGATCTGGCAACAGCTGGCTTTTGCCGCTGTAAAAAAAAGAATCGCATACTAAATGCAGCAACAAATCTAGGGTCAAAGTTCATCACCAGGATCCGGAAACAACAATTATTCACGCATGCGCAAGCCGTCGTGTGACTGGTACGGCACATACTATAATGGAAATTTTCAAACATATAACCATATTGAACAAGTCACACACACACACACACATATATATATATTATATATATATATATATATATATATATATATATATATATATATATATATATATATATATATATATATATATATATATATATATATATATATATATATATATATATATATATATATATATATATATATATATATATATATATATATATATATATATATAATTGATTCAAATACATACAGCTTTTCAAATGAAGACAAGCAGATACATTAAATCCAACGCTTTCGGCCAACACATCCAAACAACAAGACGTCTTAATTCAACACAACTAAATTCAACACACACAATCAAACTATTTTATCAAAATCATGTATTCACAAGTCTGTTCAATGATTCTCTTTAACTCGTATGTCCGACTATATTCTATTTTTAACATATATTTAAATTGTTAAAAAAAAATCTTTGTTATTCTATTTTTATATATATTTTTAATTTATAAAAAAAAATCAGCTTGCACTAAGTTTTCAAAGTAAATCAACAAAAAGACATCTAGATCACAAGCAGGAAACAACAACATAATTATCACATGGTTTCAAGAAGCAACAATCATAGCGATGCAATACATGACTGTATGCAGAAACAAGTGTAAACCTTATTTTAATGTATACCTAATTAATAATACCTTACAAGGAATGTATACCTAATTAAAAACATATATCTAGTTACCAAAACATGCTAAGTTAACGAAAAAAAAAATGTACAATGAAAAATTGTGTATTCAAGAATGTGTACCTAATGATAAAATGCAAAAAATAAATAAATAACCGATACTTAATTACTATAAAACTAATTTACTATAATAACTCAACTTTCAATTCAAAGATCGTTTAGCATTACCTAATGTAATTCCTATCTTAGTGTCTTTATCACTGTTATGTGACGTACCTAAACAATAACACTACTTAACATGAATTTATTCTACAAAGTTGTCAAGATATTCTAATCAACAATTTGAAACTTTCAATAATGCATGTCTACGCATAAAACTGACTAGTAAATACAATTTACCCCACCTATTAATTAGGCTTAGACATTGAAATAAGAATACACCTAGCAATTATAAAATACAAAGTACTAATAAAATGTCAATAAAAAATTGTCTATTAATAAAGTACACATAAAAAAAATATTCTTTTAAATAAAAATGTATTTATCCATGGTGTACACAAATGAAAGAAAAGCAACAACACAAAAAGGAAAAACAAAGACACCGAGATGCCATCAGAAGACTCGTAAATGTGAAAGAATTTTTTTTCTCACTCTACCTCAAAATGCCAAGACTTTCAGTTAAGAGCGTGCGGTGTGGAGTTTAATGGGACGCAATTTGTAATTTGATACTTAATACATTTAATTTATAGAATAGATAATGTGTTTGACGGCAGTCAGCAATGAAAGGCAAAATACCACATTAACTGGAAATGCCCTTTTCCTGAAAATCAATTCTGATGGAGAGTTTATAATTTTCTTGCAAACAAGAGTTCTAGATCTGTATAAGACAGGGCAATACATTGCCATACTGGGGTTGTTTTAGTACCTAATTTAGTGTCGTCGTATTGATTTAGCTTGAGGTTAGGATTATGGCGTGGATAGAGGATATGGTTAGGGGCAGGATTATAGTCGGGGAAAGGATTAGGATAACTGTACTAGCCAAATTAACATCAATACCTTCCTACCGAAGATTTGGTGAATATCCACACCATGAAAGATAAAACTGATAGAATCAAAGTCAAAATTTGAAGCAGCCTATATATATATATATATATATATATATATATATATATATATATATATATATATATATATATATATATATATATAGTCTGTTATATATTTCATACAATTGTAATTCTGGTATTCTAAACTGTAAAATAAATTAATACATAAACAAAATTTTGAAGCAATTTTACAAATGTTCAGGAACAAGCTCTCAATCATAAGGTGTAGGAAAATAATTAGATCTAAATTTATTTCATGAGTCTCATGCCGCAAACCATTCAACATATAAACAGTCATTGAAACGTAGTACATCTGTAAACAGGAAAAACATCTCTAACATCCCCTTTCATGATCACAAACATTCAAGTTTTAAGGGTCATAGCATAGTTCAAGGACAAGGCCATTGTCGGTTCAAAGTTTAAACAAAGGGTGCATCCATTTTATCACAATTTGCTTGTTGTATAAGGTGAAATAGAAAAAAAAAAACTTTTATAGATTTATATTTACAAAATATGGTCACAAAAAACGTAATGAAAATATTATGCGTGATAACAACGTGTTTATAATGTGTGCTCTTTATTTATCGTTTAAATTCACGTATAGCTTTGTAATACCGAATTGAGTTTGTTTATAGAAAAAAAAACTCCTCATAAAAAAATAAACTTAAACTAAATGGAAACAACCTTCTTATTCATAATGATCTATCGATCAAACTGCCCTACAAGTGCCTAGTCATGTCTTAGATGAATTGTTTACTTTCTTTGTTCAATTCCAATTAAAGTATCTCTCAATGTTTATTCTATTTGAATTGACTGAACTGTGCCAAGAGATTAACGTCTAAACATAATCACAGGTAATGGAAATTGTAGTATATCTTTCTTTTTTAGTTAACAATGTGATTCATAGAATAATACTTTGAGCCGTCTACATTACGGGTCTAAAACTAGTACCTATATAGTATATACGGTTTTTGTTGTTTTTTTTTTAAGGGAAAAAGTAGGTTATTACACTGTAGTGTAGCACCGAGATAAGTTGAAATGAATTTAGTATAACATTATGATATACATGTATCAGAAAAAATGAAAGTCAATATTTTCGTATGGTTGTTGAATAAAACAATGTTGACCGCTTTAAAGTGAAGCTGTATGTACGTCTCTAAGCGACTAGTTTATAGAAACCGTGTAGACTCTTACATATTTAATTGCTGGGTAAATTGATAGCTTGTACACACTCGATTCCTGGAGAAGTAGATTTGTGGGTAGGCTTCTTGATCTGTTCGTGTGGGGTGTCGGGTTGAGGTGTAGTTTACACTAGGGTTCTGTTGTTTCTGTTCATGTGCGCGTCAAAAGATGTTGTGAAACAACCTCAGTAGTCTGTAGACTTGCTCGATGAAAATGATGTGGGGAGGGGAGGAACGACATAAACAGTTGATCGTGAAGTAAAATAAGCATTTTAAAAATATTAAACCCAAAAGGCGTAACTAGGGTGTGTTGATGTACGAGGGGGGCGGAAAGCCCCGGTTAGCACTTTATTGTCATACAAATATACAAAACGAGGCACAATTGAGAGTTCTCGTGAATAAACTTGTCACAAGTAATGGCAGCGAGCGGTAAAGTAGGTCACCCCGAGGCGCTTGTAAGTTAAGTTACGCCGTTCGTTCCTTTTAGTTTTCAGTGTAAAATCCAAGTTTTTGTTAGAATAATAACCGTTTTTTTTTGTCATTTGCGAAATTGTTTATGGTACAATTATACGAAGTATGCGTTATGATGAGATAATTTGATGAAAATACGATGTACGTTAATGAAGTTTAACTTCTGGACGAATGCACGATTGTCTAAGGAATGTCTTTCTTTTCCCTCCAAAGTTCAACAAAAGTTTTGGATACAACCGGTGTTACGATAAGCTGGAGGTAGGTTTACTCTTCGACGTCGACCCCGACGGGGTGCCGTTTTTCGTCACCTTGGGCGTGGCCTTGACGGGCACGCACAGCATCCCGTTGCCGCGGTTGTCGATGTCGTCTCTGTAGAACATCCGCTCCTCCAGCGTCAGCTCGGAGGCGTCGGCGCCGTGTTTTAAAAGCTTCCTCGCGGCCAGTGTGTTCCGCCGGAGTACGGCGTAGTGCAGGGGCGTGTGGTTGGTGCTGTCGCGCTTCTCGATGTTGGCGCCGTGCTGAAGCAGCAGCTGCAGGATACTAACGTCACCCCTGTACGCTGCCAGGTGTAAAGGCGAACACCTCCCGGGTAATCCATCGGGCATTCCCATTTCTATATTAGGATCAACGCCCGCTTTCAGCGCGACTTTGACTAACTTCCGGGCGCCCCGAAGGGTGCAGGCGTGCATGGGCGTCCACTCCCCAACAAGGGAGGTAAACATCTCCTGGATGAACGCCTTGTCGCGTTTCACCAAAGACTTAGTCCTTTCGACAAGGGTCTCTTCGTTTTTACGCAACAGCCCCATGAAAGTAACCGCCTCTGATTGAGAATCTGATACAGATTTCATTGGCCCACGAAAGTTGGTGTTGACTGCTAGCGATAACATAGAGTCGAGTGGTCGATCTATGGAAGAAAAAAAAACAGATCGGTTAGCTAATGGTTTAAATGTTTAAAATAACTCATTTTAATCAATTTAAACTATTTGAATACCAGGATAAAGAAAAATAGATACTTTTTAAAATAGCATATATTTTAGTTCCCTATCAAATCAAAATGTAAGAGTATGAGGAATAAATAACGTAACAGAATATAATTGTTTTAAATTATTTTTAGATTGGATACTTGAAAATAAATGGAAAAAAAAACAATTTTGAGACATAAGTCCATTTTTGCACCGGAATCATTCAAGAATTAGACATGTTTTATGCAAAGATTAAAAACTGTTACCGGTACAAAGATGTGACTATTTTTGGCTTTAGCTTTAATCTAGGCTTAATGTCTTTGAGGTAGAGTTTGGGTTGTTGGGGTTGAATTTTAAAGGTTATTGATTTCGGCCTAACCTAACCGGTTCAACAAGTATGAAATTCTTTCAAGGCATTAACAAACACAATACCAATTTATTTTATTTTTAAAATCCCACAAACACAAAGGAGGTGGGCATATAACAGCTGTTTCGCAATTGTATCAGGGTTATTTTTATACCCCCCCCCCTCTAAATTTTAGAGTCTTCGCAACAACTCAGAACTAAGCCTAAAATGGCATTCCGAGTTTGCTCCCTTCCCCTTTTCCTAAAATGTCAAAGTGCATTAAAATATGTTATCATTCTTTTGCTTAAACATTAAAGAATATTTTTCTACTTCACATAACTTCCTACCCCCACACTCCCGACATCCTAACACATCCTCATAACGAAAACATGCACTCCATCCCTCCTAACCCCGCTCACTCTTGAGTTCTGTCATGTCAGATGAACAGAGCATTAAATATTAAAACAGTGCCGCAACTTCTGCACGAAACACCAATTTAACTCAACCCTGACCCCTCAACCTTGACCTTATTTTTGACAAGCTTTAAGTATCAAATCCATGCATACATTCTCCTTCTCACACAGCTCAATATATATATATATATATATATATATATATATATATATATATATATATATATATATATATATATATATATATATATATATATATATCGTTATTTTATTAGTTAATCCACTGTCCGTGGCTACATGTTAAGTTCATTATTTATGGGCTTCCAACGAATATTTAATAATAATTCCCAGGATGAGAAAGATGAATGTACATCATCAAGTGCTGTCAAGGCTGAGCCTTAATTGTTTCAGAATGAATAACAAGGGCTGGCGTGTAGCCTTGACCCAGTTCGCGAATTTAGCTCACGCACGTACACAAAATTATAAATGTATATGCAAAAGATATGCAAAGATATATTCATACATTGCTCCCCATAAAAGCTCATTGCAGTATATGATTGTTTTATCAAGCACTATGAGAAATCGAATAGTTTTTTAATATAGGTAAAAGTTATGCCCACAATTATTTTGTATTGTACCTTGGCGGATTTAAACTAAACTTGTCTTTACTATTTAAACGAAAGATAAAAATAGTCTTAGAACAATCTGAGAAATATATATATATATCTATATATATATATATATATATATCTATATATATATATATATATATATATATATATATATATATATATATATATATATATATATATATCTATATCTATATATATATATATATATATATATATATATATATATATATATATATATATATATATATATATATATATATATATATATATATATATATATATATATATATATATAGGAAACAGAAGTGTTTGTGTATTTCTGTCAGAAATATATATATCTATATATATATATATATATATATTTAGGAAACAGAAGTGTTTGTGTATTTCTGTCAGTTTGACTAACGTTGTTTCTAGTGCGGTTAAGTGTACTCACTAAAGTACATGACTGTGTTTTGTTTAGCGGCATGCACTTGGCCATAGAACTTGAAAGTGGGAGGAGGGAGGTGGGGGGTGGGAGGCTCGTATGGCGTGAGGTGTAATGAGGGGGTCGGGGAATGAGTCTGTGATGGAGCAGTGACGTGTAGATAGGGAAAGTGCTTTTTGAACGGTAATTGATATATTAGAATTAGAACCACCCCCTCGCTAATGTTTTGCAGAGTGGAATGCTCAAAACATATTTGTAAATAAGCAGCTAGTCTAAATTTATACAACTGCGTGTTTAAGTTGGGCTGGCATGAACTACTCTCTCAACACGTTTTTCAGCATCAACATGTAACATCATATCAAGGAGCACTACAGTACGTGTTTCACAATATCAATATACAGTCGTTTCGGCATGTATAACATCGTATCAAGGTATACTACAGTACATGTTTCACCATATAAATATACACAGTCGTTTCGACATAGTTCATCGTAGCAAAACCGTAGCACCATGTATCACCGTACCACCATGTGTCACCCTACCACAATGTGTCACCGTACCACCATGTGTCACCCTACCACCATATGTCACCCTAACCATGTGTCACCCTACCACCATGTGTCACCCTACCACCATGTGTCACCGTACCACCATGTGTCACCCTACCATATGTCACCCTACCACCATGTGTCACCCTACCACCATGTGTCACCGTACCACCATGTGTCCCTGTACCACCATGTGTCACCCTACCACCATGTGTCATCCTACCACCATGTGCCACCGTACCACCATGTGTCACCATATCAACGTGTGACATCATATCAACGTGTACCATCGCTATCAAACACGGCTGTAGTACCACTCGAACCCAAACAAGGATTTGTATTTCACACGCCTATTGTACAAAACTTGTCAAAAGTAAATGTTTTATAAAATCCTTGTTTGCGTCCGAATGAAAACAATGTGTTACATGTGTGGGTTGATATATTGATATAATAGTAGGTCAGTGGACTGGCTAAATAAACCCTCATGGGTCTCACAGGTCGGGGTCTCATGTCTTAGGGCTCCTACTAATGATCCTAGTTACTCGAGGTTCACAAACTAGGGGTCTAGGCAAGTGTTTCCTTGTTAAAGTTTCTTACCAATGATCTTGCGATTTCGGTTTCATTAAGGCCGTATATTAAGGGACATTTATCTTGTGTGTGTGTGGATGGGGGGGGGGGGTCTGATGTTATGGGGTCAAGGGGGTTTAGATATCATAGGGGTCATATATTATTGGGCTACGAGGGTCGGATATTATGAAATAACGGAGAGGGGTCAGCAACTGAATGTAATGGATCCCCAAAGAGTGCAACAGAATTAAGTGCGTCTAACTTAACTATAAATTTAACTGTGCAAGGCCTAACTAAAAACATCTCATTACGAAAATTACTCTCAGTGAACGTTCAACACGTCCACACATAATTAACTCAACACGTCATCACAACAGAGCGAAGTGCCAGTAACAACAACAATCTACTAATAAATGCCACGGGCACTTTTGGCCAGTACGCGCCATATGTTTGTGTTGCCACGAATCGCGTGACGGCTGTGGGATAATGTATTCTATTCCGGCATTGACAGATCATGTCAGATCAGCTTGACATGACACGACTCGTCTGTAACGTTTACACACTCGGTACCTTCTCGGTGAATAGGGTACCGGGAAGTGGTTTAAGATACTGTATGTGGATAGTAAGTAAGGGGGTGGTCGGATGGTAGATCATGCGAGTGGTAATCAGGGGTTCGTGTCCGTAGAATGTGCCTGAGTCGACCCAGCTCCTGGGGGGGGAGTATTTTTTGTGACGATGTGTGACGCATGAAGGGGGGGGGGGGTTAGTAAAGGTGTAAACATAAGAAGAACAAAATGAAGTTAAAAACATGTTTACTTGCGCTAGAAATAAATATATATATTGTAAAGGGAAATAATGAGCAAAAAATGAACTTAACCACAGGACAAAGAAAATAGTAAAACGAACACATAAACAATGCCAAGAAAGAAAAAAATAAAGGAGAGTAAAATATACAATTAAAAACAAAGTTAAACAGAAAAATAGCTGTAAAAACAGTATGCGTTGTTAAAATATACAACGATACAGTTTACAAAATGAAGTGAAGCGAAAATGTCTAATTAAATTAACGGACAGTTCGACTGATCACCATGATAGGTAAAAAAAATCTAGAAGCCAAATCGAAATTTCCCGACCCGAAAATAAACTCCAGGTACTAAAAGAAATTGTCCATACACTTCAACAATGTATCGTGACCCTAAAATAAACTCCAGGCACTAAAAGAAATGATCCCTACACTTCAACAATGTACTGTGACCCTAAAATAAATTATCCCGACCTTAAAATAAACTATCGTTAACATCACAATCAAGAGGGCAAAACGGTGCTATTTTAGTGCTAATTAAGATTGTCCATAATTAATAGCAGTTAAAGGCCCGGTGCGTGTGTTTTTTTTTTTCCTGACTGGAATACGATCTAAAAGACTTCAAGCTTAAAATTAGTAAACCTATTACACGCATAATACTTTTCAGCAGTAAAATAAATCCGTGTTCACTCTTGAATATGTCAGTTGTATGTAAATGTGTAATTCATTCTTGGATTAGCCAACAGTATACAATTCCTTGTCCATTTGTGATTTTGGTTAAGGAAGAACATTTTATACTAATTTTTTTTCAGGCATCTCTTCGACCCCCCCCCCCCCCTCCCCATTTCTCCTCGAACGAATTTATATATATACTTTTACTTGTGTCCGCCCCCCCCCCCCGGAAAATTTAGACCACAGCCCCCCGTCTCCACCGAAAATATCAAGTGCCCCCCCCCCCCCCCCCCCCGAACCCCATCCACAGGAGAAAAAAAATGAAAGAAACACTGATTGTCTAGGGGCATGTCGAAACATGTTGAATTCACTTCACAGTGAGCATGTTTAGTCACTCGTTCGTCGTGGTGCTTTTGTGCTCGTTAATTGATTAAGACCGTGTTAATTGGTTATGAGTATGTTAATTGATTATGACTGAGCTGACTGATTACTGTTGTTAGGTTTCGCAATAGATAGTCTCATCACATGCGCAGTT